GATGATAACTGAGTATTACAAGGAATCAAATTTATCACAATGAATGGTATTAGCAGCGGTTTCTTGAAAATAAAATGAACATTTTTAAAGAAATTCATCCAGAAATGCTCAGTGTACTACAAAGGTGTGATTTCTGCTGTGTCACGTCTGCAGAAGTTAACTGTGAGTTAGGTGCTAAAATAAAGAGTAAGACTTAAGAAGGAACAAGGGTATTTGGGCTGGCGAAACAAAGAAAATGTGAAGAGAAAAAGAGCCACTGTCTGAAGCCAGGTTGCTGCTCCTTTTCAAAGCTTACAGATGGGTAGTCCTCCCCCATAAAAGGCTGCTAACACTTTTGTACTTTTCTTGAGCTTTCCACCTTCAGCCCAAGCTGCTTTATGTGCTTGCGTGCTCCCTTGGTAAATAATTGTCTTTTGCTATAATAGATTTTCTGTAATGGCAGGAGTCATCCGTTTCATTGTTGCACCAAGAGTTTACAGAGGAAGTCTGTCCCCTTCTCTTGTAGGTTTTCTGCATGGCTGTTGTCTAAATATACTAAAAGAGGCACCCTGTTATGGGCAGATAAGATAAGAATCCCACTAGGGAGGCACAAAAAGAAGGGAAGGGAGACATTTCATATTCACTCTGTCTTGGTATCCTTGGCTGTGTGCACTGAGGCTTGGCGAAGGGTAGCTAAAAGGTGCTCGCAACCTTGTATGGTAGGGAGTGAAGAAGGCCCCTTCCCGAGCAACGGCAAGTCTTGGGCTTGTCTTAGTAAACTTTGTCTGAAAGCGAGTAACTGTGTGGCGTGGGAAGAGCAAATGTTTCTGTCACTCAAAGGTATTTCATGTCCATCAGGAAGAGACAAGGGGTTGCTCTGAGAAAACTGGTCTCCTGCCATGTTTTTGAGTACCTGTCAGAGTTGAAGACTTCAAGGTAGCTAAGAAATAGCTGCAGAAATCTCAAGCATGACTGTGAACTGGTTTTTTCCCCACATTGGACAGCAAGCAAATAACAAGTCGTAGAAGATAACACATATATGCCTTCTCATGTAGCACACCATTCTGTGATGAAAACTAGTACTGTCAAAAGACCTGATGCTTGCCAGCATGCAGACAAAACAATTGTCTTGTTAATTGAAAGGGTAACTCTTCCCAGAAAGAAGTGTTGCGGATTTTTAGAGCATCTCAGACAAGAAGCTGGAGTTCAACATGTGAGATTCTAAGAGGAACTATACATTGGTCACCAGGATTATCTTTACCAGACCTTATATTCTAAAGGTGCCTTTTCTGATTGTTTTTAGTGGTGGGGTGGGTTGTTTTTTTTTTTGGCATTCACAAGTCAGTCAAGATAGCTTTGCCTTTTTTCTTCCTTGTCTCTTAATTTCTTGCATGATAGATGTGGTTGCTCTTGCCTGTCTTCTGTTGAGTAATGTTATCAGCAAAAGAATGCTGTGGTTACAGATAGGGTGGGAGTAACATAAACACATGGAGTTTTGAATCAGTAAGTAGAAAGCGCTATGTTAAGTAATCTTACTCTGATCTTGTTTTGTATCTGTAGCTTTAGTTTGTGAAGTGCACTGCAGAAAAACAGTTAGTTGGTGAACCATAGAATATGCTGCTCTTGTTATTTTAGTATATGCTGTATTCTAATCTTGCTACCTGGAAGAAAAGAATCTTTCATGGGGTTTTGAAAAAAAGTATTTAGCCTGTATGTATTATAGGCTAAATGCATATGTATTTACATAGCAAACATATAAACTCTATATACTTAGATGTATTACTATATTTTTTTAAACTTTCTATGAAAATGGTATCCCATTCTTTGTTGTGTTTATTTTTTTTTTAAGAGAGCTGAGTAGCACGTGATGAAGTCCACAGTAGCAGCATTTCATTTTCGTTTGTATTTTGACAAAATGACCTAAAACACACTATGTTTTACATTGGAAAGTAGACTGAAACTTGTCTCTTTAAAAATGGACTTTATGAATAAAGGAAGAGAGGTAATGAACTAACCGGCTTCAAGACTTTAGAACTAATAAGTCTCTTCTGTCTCTAGTATATGAATAAAGTTCCCATTTTCAAGTCCACTTTTCAGATTTCAAGGAATTAGTCGTTGAACCTGGCTAGGTGAAGGAGATTAAAAGAAAATACTCTTTGTACCTGCAGAAGTATTTCCCTTTTTCATAACCTCATTTGTGAGGTTTGACCTTAAAGTTTGACCAAGCTGAGTGTCATATGCTGAGGGAGTCATCTTCCTCAGTCCAGTAATTTGATATGATAGTCTTGCATGTCTTAATTTTATTTTCAGTGATTTTTTTTAAACTAAATTTACTAGAATTTAGGATATAAAAATTTCAAACGTAATTTGGCATGCATTTTAAAAAAGGCAAAAAAAGCATGTATTTCTTGTTTCTAAAATTGGATTTTAATAAAATCTTATTTTCTTTAACGTTGATTTTTAAAATAAACCATAAATTCTTATCCATCCTAACTGCAGACATTGGAAAAGGTACACCAGACCAAGGCATCATAGCAACTGTGACGTATAGACTAGGGGAAAGTTTTCCAAGGTGGTGATAGATACAGGGTATCTCCTGTGAAAACAGGTTAGTAATTCTTGCTGCTAGTAGCTTTTCATCTGCGTAGACAAAACACTTCAGCTTTCTAACAGTCTTCCTAACATTGAAGGTTGGAATGCATAAAAGCAAGAGGAGACTTTAAAAATAATCTGTTTTATTCAGACTTATTTTTGGGTGCTTCTGCATGTGCTGGGTGAGTTGTACTTGAGCGTTTTAAAGATTAAATTTCTGGCCGTCAAAAACAAGTGATAATGATGGTGCTTTGGGTTTATTATGAATGAAGATGCCTTCAACTCAAATGAAATACATGTTTAAAGTGCTATTGAGGAATCCATTTCTTCTCATTAATGTAATCTCTTCTTCTCATAGTTTTCTGATGGCTGATGATAAGAAAAATGTGTTGCTGAGAGCGTTCCTTTTCAGTGTTCGTATTTGCTGTGATATTTGTGAGATAGGCACTAAGCCCAACTGGTACAGGAAGTAATTAATTTGGGTGGTGGTTGTCAGCGAGCATTCATCTGGTGTCCAGACTGCAGTTCTTCCACATTCTTTCACCTGTTCTTGATGTCTCTCATCATGAAAGGCTGTCATCTTGTTTGAAAACTGGCACTGTTGGGTAGATACTCTTTCATGACTCTGTCCTTTCAAGCTTTGGGTGTTTGTGGGAAGCAGTTATTAGTTCTTTTCTTTAGTGAGGTTCTTATGTGGGACTCCACTGGATTTCCTCTTTAGAAATAAGCGAGTGGGAAGTTATCTGTTCTGTAAGCTGTCAGCCTTATGGGGAAATAGCCTCAAGCTGCAACAGGGGAGGTTTAGATTAGATATTAGGAAAAATTTCTTTACTGAAAGAGTGGTCAGGCATTGGAACAGGCTGCCCAGGGAGGTGGCTGAGTCACCATCCCTGGAGGTGTTCGAAATACGTGTAGATGTGGCACTTCGGGATATGGTTTAATAGGCAAGGTGGTGTTGGGTGGCTGATTGGACTTGATGATCTTGGAGGTCTTTTCCAACCATAACGATTCTATGATTCTCTGATCCTCCTGGCCAGAGCGGTGGGGTGGCCCTTGCTGGTGAGGCCCTGCCTGGCTGCCTCCAAGGGGGCCCTGGCCAAAGCAGCACCACGTTCTACCCAGCACAGAGCCAGGTGAATGGCTTATCCCCTGCTCACTGACCGACGGGGACTGGTGGTGGAAGTGATTCAGCTCTTGCTGTACATGGCAGCTCCTCAATGAAAGATGCAGGATGGAAATGATGAACATCGCATGTTGCTCATCAGGACTCTCTTTTTCAAGAAATGCATTACAGCAAACACAGAAGAGAAACACTATTAGGGCTTAATCTTTGCTACAGAACAGCTTATTGTATCTTGAGTGTTTCTGATCACCAAATGCTTCGTATTCAAGGTTAGGAGTGTCTTTATTTCAAGTGCAAGCCAATCAATAGCTAAAGACTTAAGTGTGAGTGAATACAGGAATCGGCTACCAACAGTCTTTCAGTACAAGTGAGCCATCCCTTCACCTGTAACAGTTCAGCCTAACTAGGATGACCCAGACCCAAGGCATGAGCTGAGGCATGCACCTTCCCAGAGGAGCGGCCCATTCGCAGTGTTGAGGCATTTGCAAACCAAGAGAATTATTCTGCCATGCAAAGCTTGATAACCTTTTTAAATCTGAAAATGTACTTGCATTTCAGTGTCAACTCAGTGTCGTATTTAAGTTGTGCTTGAGTCCATGAGTGTCAAAAGCAGGTCACCAAGCCAACATATGTTAAAGACTAAAAGGAATGAGTGGAACTGGCTGGATTCTAGCCTTCCAGTCCCGCTGTGTGTCTCATACACACTGAAATCTGGCAAAAATGAAATATGACAGACTTCTTTCTGTATGTGTGTGGAGATGAATGATGGAGAAGGTAGATTCTTCTGAATGATTTTTTTTTTTTTTTTAGTAACTGAAATGTGCAGTGAGATAGCTGCTTCCATTTGAGTATTCAAGAATTTAAATATAGAATGGAATCTTTAACTTGGAAATATGCTTTAAGGGTGGGCTTGGGTTTTTTTTTCTTCTCAGTTCATAGTGGTCTAGACAAGATTTAAAAAGATATCCAGTGATCTTGAGGATCTCAAATTGCATGTAGTTTGAGTGAAACTGTTAAAAATTAGGACAGGGTTGCTCTTTGTGGAGCTAATACTACATTTTCCATGACAAGATTTATTCTCATAATGTAATATAAAGGAGTTAAAAGCTCTGCTTTTTCATGCTGTGCTTCTCAATATATTTTGAAAGAAAAATAGTGCAGTGATTAAAGTACAAATACCTTTTTGTTTATGCACTGAAATGAATAAAAGAAAGTCAGTGTTTGGAACAAGACATTCTGTATTGTTTGAAAGCATTCTGTGTTATGCTGGACATCGTGATGATGTGAATATTACATTTATTATGTAATGGGATCTTGTCTTTTAGATTCAAAGAATATTAAAAAAGAGAAAGATGGAAAGAATCAGCAGGCAAACAACACGTCTTTAAAAAGTGGTAGGTATTGCAGCTGTCAGGTTATTAGTTAAAAAATCCTAACAGAAAAAGTGTATATTTGGATTGTACTATCTCCTGAGGCTTTTTTTTTTTTCAGTTTCTTTGGCTATTACTGGTGGGTATTTAAAAACGTACCACTGCTTTTGTCTAGCTCTGTTAGGAAAGTATGCTGTGGTACAGAAAATGATGGTTGAAACTGCTTGACTTGAACTTGATAGTTTTACTAGCCAAGACAAGTGGTCTTTGTATAGATAATCAAAGATGCTGTGTAAACTTTAATTTTTTTAGATCGTTACCAATTTGTCTGTTCTTCTCATCATGTATTTCCCAGTTTCATGCCTTTTCTACTGCAGTTATCTTCTCTTTCCTTAATGTGTTTGCTGGTGCCAAAGAAAGGATTTTTAGTTGAATAGTCTGAGTTTTTAGGATTGCTAACTGGATTAAATTGCCTGGGATTCTAATTTTACTTTAACCTAACTCTCTTTTTTCAAATCAATTGTGTTTTTATAATAAACTGAGGAAACTACACACTTGCCAGAAATGATGCAGCTTCTTATCATCCTTTGACAGCCTCTACTATTTTCAGCAGGTGCCGTAGGGCAGCATACACATGGGTTTGCTGGCAGTTTTGCTTTTGTAGGCTGCAGTGAAAGGGCAGCACCATCCTTATATACTCTGCATATGTTCATGTTGGGTGCTTGAATTTGGGGCAGTAAGAAACGTCATGAGTACTGTTGACTGAAGCAGAAAATCTCTTCAGGAGTTAGTTAATTCTCAGTAAAATGGCATGGGGTTACTTAAACTCTCACTCTGCTTACATTTCTGTGCCCTCTGACTCCTAATAGATGGTCTGGCTCAGAGCTTTTCTTGGGTACCAGTGGAGAAGTTCCTTATGAGTAGTGTAGTCACTGAGTAAACATGCTGAGATACGAATGTGGTAGCTGGGTAGTTGAGGTGATGACTTTGCCTGAAAGATGCAATACCCTGTTACCACCAGCCATAGGACAGCTTTCTGCTGTTACATTTGCCAGATTTAATTCTTCCATTTCTTGGGATCCTAGCAGTCATCTTTGTTCTTCTTCCCTGTTACTCTGAGACAGGAAAGGAAGTGTATTTGTGTCTTGTTTTCCCTCTTCTGCAGTGTAAGAGGAGCTCCAGTCAAACCGGACTCAGATAGCATGTCTGTGTTTTAAAATAATGTTGTCTGACATGACAGATGGAGCCCCATAAGACACCCCTCCACCAGCAAAGTGCTTTTCATATGTGGGTAAGATAACCATATTTCATGAGTCACTGGAAAACGTCCCTGCCTCCTCCTGCAGTAGAGAGCAAGGTGTTGAAAAAGCTTTGTGGAGGAGCAGTGCTAGCAGGCAAGCCTTATTCTGTCATCTGTGTTCTTCCACTGGGGACTACGCTGTTAATCTAATGTCTGAGTACTAAATTTACTCATGAAATCTAGACTTGGCTCTGTCAAACACCTAGAGAGGAGTGCCTTGCTCAAGATAATGCAAGATCTCTGATTTTCTATAGATAAGATGATGATTTTTATCCTGTGTTGTTGCTTGTTGGTGGCAAGGAAGAAAGAGCCTCTTGATGTCAGATGAAGAAAGATGCCTTACAATGCTTTGGGCTAGCATCCGGGAGATCTCCAGAGTTTTCAGGGGAATGTGTGACAGGAAAAGTTAAAGAAGAGGGGAGAGATAGAGATGGGATAAGAATGGGTCAAAAAATAGACTGAAGTAGGTAGAGAAGACAGGAGGAGAAGAATTCTAATTGAATGATCACAACGCATAAAAGGAGGTACAAAGTATAAAGCAGGGTGTGAAATACCTGACACTTAATCTACTATGTTCACAAGAGTATGTAAACCAAAATTAAAAGGAAACCTCATCTTTGACAAAGAGATTGTGGGATGAAGACTAGAAAAGGTACATCTCTCTGTCAAAAGTCTCAGATGCATGCCAGGGGAATCTAGGGATGAGATGAGAAGACACAGTGTGCTCCATCTGCTTAAACAGTGTTTTAGGCTATGGTGATACTGTATTAAACTAACCTAAATAAACAAGGACCTTAAATTCTATCTATCTACAAGTGACACTCAACTCGTAGTTTAAATCTTCAGTTTAAGTTTTGTAAACCTTTGACTTAAACTGAAGTATTATGTACAGTAGAAGAAGACAGGGAGCACTTTGGCAAACTGGGCATTCGCCTGTGCACGGGAGGAGATGGGACGCCTCCAAGGGTGCCGAGATAGTTGACTGGTGTCAGTGTGAGGCTTCTCTCTCCTTTTGGAGAGAACATAGTGACTGGGGAGGTTTCACGATGGCTGGAAAAGGACAAACGGTATGCCAAGTGTCAAGAAGGACAAGAAGGGAGCACCTGGGGAATTACAGGCTGGCCTGTCTGACCTCAGTCTTCAGGAAGACTATGGAGAAAATCCTCCTGGAAGCCAGTTCCAAGCAAATGAAAGATAAAGATGAGATTAGGAGCAGCTGAGATGGATTTGCTAAGTGTGAACTGTGCGTGACTGGTTGCCTTTTGTGGTAAGTGATTCTGTAAACAAGGGGAAAGCAGTGGATGTTCCGCTCTCGTGAGACCCCACCTGGAGCACTATGCCCAGCGTCTGGGCCCCCAACATAGGAAGGGCATGGATGTGTTGGACTGGGTCCAAGGAGGGTCACAAAGATGGTCAGAGGGCTGGAGTACCTCTCCTACAAGGACAGGCTAGGAGCGTTGGGGCTGTTCAGCCTGGGGAAGAGAAGGCTGCGGGGTGACCTTAGAGCAGCCTTCCAGTACCTGAAGGGGCCTACAGGAAGGATGGAGAGGGACTTTTCACAAGGGTGTGCAGTGATAGGACAAGAGGGAATGGATTTAAACTAAAAGAGGGCAGATTTAGATTAGATATTAGGAAGAAATTCTTCACCATGAGGGTGGTAAAACACTGGAACAGGTTGCTCAGAGAAGCTGTGAATTCCCTCTCACTGGCAGTGTCCAAGGCCAGGCTGGATGGAGCTCTGAGCAACCTGGTCTGGTGGAAGATGTCCCTGCTCATGGCAGGGGGGTTGGAACCAGATGATTTGTAAGAATGGTTTGGGTTGGAAGGGACCTATGTTTCTGTGTTGATCGTCTCGATTTTAGCCAGGCTTTGTGTAGGGTTTCCGCAGTGTCCGTTCAGCCAGGTGTGGTTTGGATATGTGGGTGGAAGATTTGCTGACTGTACAAGGCCCGGCCGGTGGCTAGCGGCATTGCTCAGAGGTCGCTACTAGGGCTGATGCTGCTCCGTGCCTTACTGACAGACGGGGCCGGCTGGACAGAACGCCTTGCCGGCTGT